AGGGTCTGAATACTTATGACCATGTGATATTTCAGTTTTTCTTTTTTAATAAATTTGCAAAAATTTCTGTTTTTTTCTGTCAAGATGGGGTGCTGAGTGTACATTAATGAGAAATAAAATGAACTTTTTTGATTTTAGCAAATGGCTGCAATGAAACAGAGTGAAAAATTTAAAGGGGTCTGAATACTTTCCGTACCCACTGTATATAGTCGGGGGTCCCTGCTCCATCTCTCTATCAGTTCGGGGGTCCTTGGCCTGAAAAACATTGAAGACCCCTGCTCTAGTTTAGTCTGTCCCGCTATTGGAAGATTTTGGGTTTCAGTGGGTTTATTGCAAGTTACGTTTCGATGGAGCAATTTTTCAGACAACAGATTATAGACTATAGGTCGGTTTTTGATAGTACATTATTGCGTATGGATAACTTTTTGTTTGTTTTTGTTTTCATGAAACAAACTACTTTTCACACTCTATGAGCCTCATTTCAGAGATTGTATTACTCTGCGGAACACAGGCGGATTGATACGAGGCAGCACTACTTCTTCTTCACAAAATATAGGACAAACATGAGACTTAACAAACATCCCTAAAAAAATTGAAATAAATAGATGATTTCTGAAATGAAAACAAGCCTTAAGGAAACGATTAGTTAACTTATTGGTCAACAGATATAGGCAACTATTTGATAATCGTGTGATCCATCAAGTAATTCTTATTAAATAATGCCCAAAATTTTCTGGTTCGTTTCAAATGCAAATATTTGCCTTTTTTTGACTTTTCTGATATTAAATTAAATATTTTTGAGTTTGGGACTGTTGATCTATCAAAACAAGCAATTTGAATATGTCAAGGCAGGCTTTTAGATAGTGGTGTGGGCATTTTCTTTTGTTGTACTTACATACCAAACAGTTTTGTCTGTCTGTCTGTCAATCTGTCTGTCTATCTGTCTATCTATGAAAAGATGACACATCCATATGGAAGTTGTGAGTTTATTGATGTGTATCCCCCTGTAACCATAAATCTGTTTCCATTGGTGTCGATCTTTTTTTTTTTTTAAATCACTATGCATATTATATTAGTTCCCAGTCCCTTCCCACAATCAAGCAGGTGGTTACAAGATTGAAGCCGTTTGGGTGCATAGTGAGACAGTCACATACAGAGATACTGTCACAGGAAGAGGAAAAAATAGAAAACAAGAAAACAAACTTAAAAATATATATCATATCATTTCATATAAGAACAATGCACACCACAGGTAATCCTCCGGAAAAAAGCCATGATTGCAACATCAACTATACAGGCATACAAAGACAATACTAAGAGAGAAAGAGAGAGAGAAAAGAGGATTCTAGGAATCAGTTTCGCCTAATTGTTTGTGTTATTCTCTACCTGTAAAAATACACAGCTGCTTTTTTTTTTGCAGAAATCAGCTCTCCAAGCCTTGTCTTTCTGTGTGTCTCTGTCTGCCTGCACAGCCCGCCAGCTCCAAGTCTTTCTGGGTACCCAAATCCCCAAATACAGATTGTAAAATTTGTTACAGGTCCCCCAAGTCCTACAAAAAGTTTTTAGTACCCACCAGAATTATTTGTCATAATCTCCAAATGTGATATATTCAGGTACAGAAAAAAGCCATCATTCATTGCTTAGCATTTGTTGTTATCCGAGAATTATTTATAGTTCCCTCAAATCTACAAAATTGTGAACACTTTGACTTCATTTGGGGGCTCCGTGGTGGCAGATGGGCCCTAAGCAGCTGCTTATGTTGTTAGTGCCTCTGTGCCGGCCCTGTTTAGATCCATCAGACTGTTCTAAGCTTTATGACCAGCAAAGCCAACAGTTGCTCCAAAAACGTGTGTGTACATTATCCCCAAAATATGTTTCAAAGCAGTTTTTCTGGTACTTGGTTTTTGCTTCAGATAATTTGTGCAGGAAAAATAAACAAAAACAAAAAGACATTTGTTTGTAGTATGTCATCGCCCGCTGTCACAGTGTTCATGACAATGCATTCAAAATCAAAGCCACATAGGAACCTGTCAGATACATAGTATGGAAAAAAAAAAGCTTCCAAGATACATTCAACTATGTAACACACGTCAACAGGTATTATTTAATCTATCGATTTATACCGTTTCCCTATTGAAAAAAGGTTGTGTTTGTGTGTGTAGGAGGGGATATATTATCACATTCACTTAGTAAGGGGTCAGAGTAGGTTTTGTGTGATGTGTTTGAGCTGGGGGTCTGTGCACACCTTTACCTTCCCCGACTCTGTCTAACAGTGTGCCTGCAAACACAACTCATGACCACTAAGCTAAGAACCCTAAACCAACTCATAACCTCTTTCCTGGGGAAAAAAAAAGGCAGAATAAAAACATCTATTCTTATATATATTTGAACTGTATATGTATATTTTCGTCTGTTATCATAACAAAGAACAGAAAGAAAATAATTCATGATTTCATTTTTTTTTCTCATTTGTTGTTTCACTATACATTTTAATTGGTACAAAGAACCTTCATATACAAGCAAACTATTGAGAGGAAGAAGAACAAAATAAAACACCAATTATTTTTGAGGAAACCATCAGAAACAGCATGAATGACACTTGCATGATGGAAAACGAAAGTGTAGTGTCTGGTATGCTGATTTGATGATGGCCACTTAAAAACATTTACATTTTGCCTTTCTCTTTCAAAAATAAAGAAAATGTCTGAAGAACTGTTATACACCTTGATCTGAGATAGCTGTATTGATAATTACAAAGAAATCTGCAGAATCACATTTTACATAATGCAAAATGGCAGATACATCACCTTCTCAAAATAAACATGATCAAAAAGAGCTCTATAGTACAATAGTAGCAGTAGTAGAAGTAGTAGCATTATTTAAGGATTGTTTTGAACAAACCAGTAAATGGAGTTTGGATGTATGCAAATTATTTTAACAATAGCATGTGTTATTGGTCAGTAGTATGTTCCCCCTCGGTTGCCGTCCTCTGTCAGACTCCACAGTGCCGTCTGTGGGCTCTGGTTAGATCTGCATCTGCTCCAAGTATTTGTAGGTGGGGTTTTCGTAGCCGTGGTTTTGCATTTTGCTGAGGTGGCGCTCCTCTGGTGTCAGCATGGGGTCAACCTGTGAGACAGACACACAACACTCTTTTAATGGGCTGATTTATTCAGGGGAAGAAAACGCTAACAACATGCTGTGTGTGTTGTATGCAAATGCTGCAGGGACTATAATCTAATTTGCCTTGCATTATCCCATGCCCCATTTACACGACCCCTGATAATTTAATGTAAATCTGACACTTGAAATAAGATACACAGCAGTCCATTAAGAGCACTGGTGTGTGCGGTTCACACCCTTTGCCCAAATCCTCACACTCTGCTCCAAATAACAGGTGGCTTACCTCCACGATGCCATGACTGATGGTGCCATATTGCCTCTTCCTCAAAAGCACCAGACTGATCACAAT